ATGTGTGCTTACTGAGAAAAAATAACACATACCACATCTTCTTTAATCATGTGGAAATAATGCCAAATATCCAGATGAAAATTTAAAACAAACACAGATGTTTTTCAGTATCTGGTAGACCAAGATTTTTTACCATTTTTAATTTAGCATGATCTCTTCAAATCTTTGTGTCTGTGTGTATGTATGTATAGAAAACATCAACATTTATATTAACTAGTCCCCTCTTGAGCACTTATATGAGCACTCTGTATATCATGCAAGGAGATTTTTACACGTTATTTCTAATCCTCGTTAACCATTTCGGTATCATGGTGGTTCTCAGAGATGGATGTGGACAAAGTTACAAAGTTGCGTGAAGGTATTGAAAGAAAGGCTAGAGATCTGCAGGAGAGACCTGCAGGGAAGATGCCCTAAGCAGCACAGTCCCTTGGAGCTTACAAAGTAAATGATTTTTGTAGGGCTGTTACCTTAGTCAAGAATGGGGATGTGTTTTGTGGGGCAAGGTTTCTGGTTTGAGCAGTTTGTATTGTCACATGGCTTTCACGAACTCGCTCCTGGCCCCGTTCTCAGTGAGCGCATGTGCAGTGCAATTGAAAGTGGAGTCTGTAGCAAGGGCATCTGGGATACTGAGCATAACTAGTTGGGCATGTGCATCGCTCCTTTATTCTTAGTTGGAACCCTGGGTTGGTATTAAGACCATTCTTTTAGGCCACTTAATGGTCACAAGTGTTCGTGCCACGCATGTCTGCTAAACCAGTGGAGCCCAGTCTGTTGGGGGGTGGAAATTTGTCATCTGAAAGATAACTGAAGCATAGACATTATAGGTGGTTTGACAATGGCACCTTGTCTGCCCGCTCTGGTTATGCTGCCCATTTAATAAGGCATTGTTTCGGCAACCTGCAGTTTCTCTGTATACTACTTTCTTCCTGGGTTAATTTAATAATTTCTACAGTCATTATTCCCATTATATTATCCCTGAGAGTGTCATTGTTAACTGATATAAATTCATCCATGTGGGCTCGTGGCAAACCCATGAACAATGGGATCAGACCATTGTGATCCAAAGAGACCGAACTGAAGTTTTTCCTTAGTCTGTCCTATACTGGATATACGGGTGAAACCCATTCACTAGCAGCGCCTCCACTGATAGAAGGGTGATGACGGCACTCAACCTGCATTGGCCAGGAATTGAATCAGCTCTCCTGTGTGGAAGGTGAAAATTCTACTACTGAACTACCGATACCGTAACTATCTTGATCAGTTGAGTGTATGAGCCCCAATTTAACATTTTAGAAAACTAGGTCTCAGGGTGATATCTAGGTCAGCTGGCTAGTAAGAAGTCGAGCCACACAGTTGAAAGCCACGTCATTGATAGAGATTCAATAGTGTCTATAGTAATGATTTTGTGTGACCAATTGACTCATGTTATGCACACCGTGTGTCACTTTCACAAAAGAAAAATCCAGGAGTTAGAATTTGTACTTGTGTGTACGTTACGGTTGTCTTGTTAGGTGCTGTGAAGTCAATTCTGAGTCCAAACAACCCCTGTGGCAGAACAGAACTGCCCAGGAGGGTTTGCTACGTAGGCTGCGGGCTGTACAGAAGCAGCTTGCTGCTGGTGGGCTCAAACTACCACCACTTCGGTTAGAGGCTGAGCCTTAACGATTGTGCCAACAGGCTTCCATAGTCATACGCATAATGGACACTTATACAAATTATGAACAGATATTATGATGCACGTTTCAGGTGAGCACTGTATGTACATTAATAAAGGTTTGTCCTTTATAATCTACCTTTGAATAGAGCCATATTGCTGGTTGATGATTGTAAGGGATGCATGTAAGCTGGATGAGATCCTCTTGTACTGTCTTTGTTTGGCTTCGTTTTCCAGTTAAAGATTGTTAAAAGTTAGCTCTCCAGAACACTTTTGTTGCAAGGAACCCAAGCCATCGAGTCAATGCCAACTCAAGCACTACCGTATTTAGCATCGTTCTTTAGGGCCACTCCTCTTTGCGAAACAGCTTAGCAAAGTAGTCACGGCACTTGGCTCCGAATGTAGGCTCTGAAGGAATGCTAACAGCTCTTACATCGTCACCAGTAAAAGCTCTGCTTGACAAGCGGATGATGAACCGCACTTTTCCCATGATGCAACACATGTAGATGACAGACAGCTCTTTCAAGTGCGGGATTTGTTCAGTGTCCGAGGACCAAACTTCATCTTGACTCTATAAAACCATGAAGCTCCTTAAAACTCAAATAACTTACTAGTCAGACAGTGAACCCCCACCTGCGATTGGGTCTTGGGGTATAAAGAGGATAAGAATGCATCTGTCTTATCCATATAATGCCTCCTTTGTCTTCCAAAGGTTGGATTTCTAGTTTGGATTCTAATACATCTGGCCCCATTAAATGAATGATTTCATGCTTTAACAAAGTGCTTTTTTACCTTTGTGTTAAAAATTGTGCTTTGTTATCTGCCAAATCTTATTTTATAAGGGAAAAGAAATTCAAATAAATGACATGTATACAAATAACCTTAATTTAACCTTAATTTAAATATCATTACTGGATATCATTTTATCCTTAACTTTTATCAATAACTATTATTTTAATTGCATTTTAAAGATTTCTTACAAGAGAAAATATATTTGGCAGTTGGGTTTTTTTTCCCAAAGTTAGATGAGTTTTGTTTTTTTTCATTTTTGCAGCTGCATTAGGCCCTTGACAACATTGTGTTCATCTGATATTTTCAAACTGAAATTGGAAAAGTCATCTATGGTTCTAATTTATGGCAATAAAAGGAAGAACTCTTCCAGACTGAAACAATGGATTTCACAGAAGTATTACTTTGTATTTTAAAAGTATTCTTTGTTTTCAGGAGTAACATTTATGTTACTAACTACCTGCTCCTAGCCTCTCTGTCCTCACAACCTTGATTTCAATAATCAGTGAGTGGCCAGTCTAGGCTGATTAGATCTAGAAGAACATCTTGAAGCATGATTTTAATTTGAGATCTCTTGTATGTTCTCTTTGAGAACTACTGAACTCATAATATAAAATGAAATCTAAACATATCAATTAGTACCTTGGCATCCCAACAGAAAATAGATGGCAAGCTCAAAAGTGTAGTAATTAAATTTAATTTAATGCAGGGACTAACGGCAACATTTAGCGAATCAACAAGGAATGGCTAAGTGCCCAGAGATTAAGAGCAAGAAGCTATTATTACCCTAAGGCCCAACATGCAAGGGGATAGAATGTGTTCTGACTGTTAATTGGAACCTAAAGCACTAAGACAGGGCAAGAGAAGTGGACCTGCCAGAGATGTGGCTTTGTAGATGGAGTATGGCCATTGCCAAATAAGAAGGCCAGCAGGTTCAGCAGGGGGAACACCTACCTTGACCTCTCCATTCCCTTGCACTTTGATTTTTTTCACTAGTGTTTCCCATTGACCAAGCCCAAGCAGGAGTCAGAATGCACAGGCTCCCTGCTGATGAACTCTGTAGAAGCCAGTCCTTACAGAAGAAAGCAGAGAAGGGTGGAGAATGGATCTGGAAGCACGGCATTAACCATCATTGACAGGGAGAAATATAAATTATGGTTCTAAGGGATATAAACAGTTATTCCTGCTAAGAAGCTGGTGGCGGCCTTCTGCCAATATTCTTTTTCTTCTTCCCTTGCCTGAAGGATCTCTTCCAGGTGGTTTTTGTGGTTCCCGTCAGCTATGCTGGGCCGATGCTGCCCTTAAAGTGGTTTGTCTTTATTACACAGCGTGCGCTCTCTCCCATTTGCTCCCAATCTCTGTCATTTTTGCTAGCGTTTGCCTAGCACCAAGTCTTGAATAATTCACTTGAGACAAGAATTTTTTTTCTCCCTGACTAATCCCCTGTCTGATTTACCTCGTTATAGACTACCTTGTATTAGTCCGGACAGCTCTATACTTTTATCCCTAAATTATGTCCCACCTTTCTTTCTTAAGGTCAATGTTTTACCCCTGTTGGCAAGCAGGGACTTGTAAAATTAATTTTTCCTGGGACAAGACTTCACGATTGAAGGGAAATAATCATCTTAATGTATAAAAACTCAAACACGTACTGTTCCCCCTTTTCTCTATTCTTGTTTCAAATACATTTAATATCAATTTATTCCACATCTTTTTATTATTTACAATTAACCTTTGAGATTAGGATAAATTAAAAAGTGCAAGTTCAAGGAAGAGACAAATGCTGGAGATCGTCCTACAGGTTGACCGGTGGATAAAAATAGGTATAGAATTGCACATGCCACAACGTATTGACATGGGAAATGGAATGTTGTTGTTTGCGGCCGTCGCGTTGATGGCGACTCATCGAGATCCCACATCCCAGAGAATAAAACACGGCGGCTCAGTCCTGTGCCATCCTCACAATCATTGTTATGTTTGAGCCCCGCGTTGAAGCCACTGTGTCAGTCCTTGCCATTTGTCCTGATCATCAGGTTTACCAAGTGTGATGGCCTCATCTGGGGACTATTCTCTCCTGTAAGCCTGTGCAAGTGCATAAGACGAAGTCTCCCCACCCGCAATTCTGAGGAGCATTCTGGCTGTACTTCTTCCAAGCCAGATTTGTTTGTTCTTCTGACAGCTTGAGGCACTTTAACGCTTCTTCACCAGCACCACAGTTCAAATTCTTAACCATCAATTCGTCTGTGGTCTTCCTTCCTCACTGTCCAGTTTTCATATGCATATGAGGTGATGGAAAATGCCATGATTTCCATATAGAGGGGCAATGATTCCAAATGATTTCATCCCATTTATCACCAAACTTTTTGAAGTCCATATATATATATATATATATTTTCCTACAATAAAAACCAGAAAAAGAATCGATCACAAAACAAAACCAAGCATTGGGACTGATTGAATAGCTTGCAAATCGACTTATTTCATCAAATTAAAGTTTCTCAGCGATGGCGGTGTGATTATGTGAGTCTAATTACTGCCTCTTCCTTTGACTACTCAGATTCGCAGCCAGAGCAAAGCGTCTGAGTCCGGGCTCTGTGAAGGGGATGAAGTTGTCTTCATCAATGGCCACCCCTGTGCAGACCTCACGTACCCGGAAGTCATCAAGCTCATGGAGAGCGTAACAGAGTCCCTCCAGATCCTCATCCGAAGGTACGGAAGACTTGTCGGAATAGATATGTTCTCATATTGAGAGACGTGAACACGGTAGCTTCTGCTCATCATCCATGAACTGGCATGGAGGGGGGAAATGGAGGGTCCCTGTGGAAAGGTAGGAACTCTGATGGTGCGTTTCTACCCCTGCGGTACTCTCCCTCCAGAGAAAGCCTCAGCCCTCTGCTCCCAGGGGGATTGACCGGCCTGCATTGGGTGGCTGGGAGTCACAAGCAACTCTGTGGCAGTCGCTTGGGTGTTTGAGGGAGGAGGTTGTAGCATGCGAGTCTAGGTCAGCATTGACAGAACGGTGCAGAGAAAAAGAAACAATTCTAATCACACGAACATTCTGATTGAGAACAAACTTGAAAATCTTTGTTTCCGGCACATCTTTAAAAAGTGTAGTAACATAGTTTAGAGTACTTCCTTAGAAGACTCAATCTGAGAGAGCTTCAGAAATTGATGAAAAATGGAATTGAAAGATAATGGAATTTTTTCACCGAAATGTTTATGTCTCCTTATATATTTATCATCATTTAAGACTCTTTTTATTTTTGGTGAATCGGGATCATTGATTTCAATGTAATTCGTAGATGAATTAGCAGGGTTTAAATGTTACAAATCGTACATGGTATGTAGATTTTTTCACAGAAAAATAATGTGTTGGTAAAGGAAAAAAAAATAATACAACTTCTGCATCCTAGGATTTGAGGATGGGCAGAAGCAGCTGGATAAAGCAAAATTTGGGGATTTTCAATTATTCAAATGCTGCCCTACCAACTTGGTTTTTTTTCTTTAAAAATTATTTTATTGGTGCTCTTGTAGGTATTATAACAATCCATAATTCAATTAGATCAAGCATCATTGTACAATTGCTGGCACCATCATTTTCAAAACATTTTCTTTCTTCTTGAATGCTTTGATATCAGCTCCTCTTTATCCCCCACCCTTCACCCCCGGCCAACTTGATGATTTTAAAATGCAAACAAAAAGTTCAAAAACTTTCAATGAGTGCAGCAACCAAAACGCAGTAACAGTACAAAGCTCAGGACAGTCCACGCTGGCTTTGTAATTGCATTAGACTCATCAGCATGCATTCTAAGCAATCCAGAAAGGAAGACTGGCGTCCTGGAGAAGATGGCAGAAGATGTCTGCTCTAGAATCTCAAAGCCATCTCCAGACTAGAGATTTCCTTAACTCTCCATGCTGCCTGCTTCCTTATGGTGCCTGGGAGCTCTCCAGTGGATCCCAACTATAGTGACCCCAAGTGACAAAGTGACAGAGGAACTGCTCCCTAGAGTCTTTCTTTTCTCTCTCTCTCTCTCTTTCCCTTCTAGAGAATTAGGAAGGGGTGTACATTTCAGATTATCATGTTTTCACTCAACAGTTTAAACTTTATCACTTGCCCCACCTCTCCCCACCTTTTCTCTCTCTCTCTCGTGTAATATTAACCTCCCCTTTTCTGACTCGTGATCCGTAAGGTTTTTCTTGCCAGTAATCTATATGGAGGCAGAAACCCAAGTCCTTCTATTACAGGCCCAGGAGGAAGGGAGGAGGAGGGAGCGTGGGAGAAGGCTCTGACCACCAGCCATTTGCTGAACCTTTGCCCCACCAAGTGTCCCTTATCTACAGCATTCCCCCACCAAGAACCATGCAGTAAGATTCCATTTCTACATCAACCTGAATGCACTGTGGTCAATATCCTATAAAAATAAAGGAATCTAGCATGATCCCTTAGGCTCTCCCATCTAAATATTTACCCCTGGAGTCTCATGTTTAGTCTTAAAGCTCTATTTATTTATAAAAGCACTGCTTGCTGTTCAGAATGATCTCGGAGGACTATCGCCAAGTGTAGACAGTGTTCACTTTTATCAGCCATACATCTGAAATACCTTAAGTCTTCCATCTTTCTCAACATTTAATGAAACAAAACATGGAGGACAAATGGGGAAGGACATCCCTTTTCTAAATAACTTCTTTCTTAGTGTCTTGTCTTTACTGGTAGAATGAGGCCAGCTTCTTGGAAAACATTTAACAGCTGGGCCGTCCCAGCCAGTCCTTGCTTGGATCATGATGGCTATCAGTGAGGAAAACCTGGCCGGTCTGAATCTGAGTGTTGGGTACATATTCACTTTAATTTTTTTCAATGGCTGAATTCTCTGCTAGTTTAATACTAGAATCATGGCTATTCTTCTATTCTTTCAAGAATCTAATCTTTACATTTTATGGTATGTGTAATTATTTGGTGATATTCCAAATGGAATCACAAATTTAAAAGATCAGCCCTAAGACGCCCCCCAGCATGCTCCCTGTCTTCACTCTGATGTCAGAACGGTATTTCCTGGAACGTGTCCCTGACGCTTGTTCTGGCACCAAACTAGAGAGCAACGGTTTCATTCTTCCTGGATGATTACCCACCCGGGAATGACCGGGTAAGACTTTTCAAATAACCTTAACACGATCATTTTAAATATCATTACAATTATAAGATGGAAAAATTAAATGTTAATATAAATATGACATAAATTGTGGTGTTGAATTCTATACGTATAAGCTGTATAGATACTGTGTATAGAATATATGTATATATATAAAATCTCTACTTGCTTTTCAATGGGACCTATTCTATGTGTGTGTGTGTGTGTGTGTGTGTGTGTAGAGAGAGGAGTCCTAGTGGTGTAGAGATTGCATGTTCGCTGCTAACTTCAAGGTCAGCAGTTCAAAACCACCAGCCAGCTCCTCTGGACTAAAAATGAGCATTCCATTGTCATGAAGAGTTACAGCCTTGGAAACACACAGGGACGGTTCTGCTGTGTCTTATCGGGTCACTATGAGTCAGAGTGGACTCAATGACAATGCATTTAGGTTTCTTTGTTTTGATTTGCATGTATAGTGGTGTGTGTGTGTGTGTGTGTGGGTGTGGGTGTGTGTTCGCATAGAGAGAGAGAGAGTGAGAGAAAGAATGACAAGAAATGAACTTTTTAAAGGTATAAAGCCTTAACTTCTTTCTCTAGTGCTTTCATGATCGCCATTCATATTTACATTTTCCACTCTGATTACTAATAAATGTTAACCTTTATCTGACCTATTTGCTGTATTCCAGTTTATAACACGGAAATGAATTCAAACTACTTCCTTCCCAGCTTCATAATTGACAACTAACATAATTCAAAGTGATTTAATCCACTTCCATTCCAAGGCCTGCCTAAATTAAAACTCTCTGACCTTTTGGTATCCTCAAAATCAGTGTAATAGAGTTTAGCCATCATTTTCTATGTAAGAAAGATATAATTTCTTGTCATCACTTATGCCTGGTGGAATATCTATGATTTTCGTAATATGATAATACCAGGAATCTTTATAGATTACTTGCATGCAGAAAGTTGCCTTTTAATTAATTTGTCAGATGCTGGTTTTGTTATGTTTTGTTGTTGTTGAGTGTGATCTATTGTTATTTTTGAAAAATGTAGTCAATAGCAAGGGTAGGAGTAAATATCTTGAACATTGGTCTGAAATGCTGCTATCACAGGGATTCTAAGGTAAATTCCTTTCAAAAACAATAGCAGTAGGTTCTAAGAGGAAGTGAAGGCCACTTCCCACAGCTGTTCTGTACATAATGCTTCTCTTAAGAAAAGCATTTAGAGTTTAGAGTTTTCGGGGTGGGGGTGGGGGTTGTTTTTTGTTTGCCTTTTTAAAAGCCTACACTGACATTTTCTTTTCTCCCCAACCCAAATGTGTGCTACCAACTGGGTTTCATTAAGGTTAAAAAGAAAGGCTTGTGGGAAGTATCTCTAGGCTCCTTAGCTGAGAGAGAAAGGGACAATTTGACTTCAGGTATCCTAAAAGGAAATGCTCCAGGAGACAGGTTAGAGCAGGAGAAAGGGAGGCGTCTCAGATTATAAATACTCCATGACTTAATGATTCATTGCAGCCTGGAAAGGGTTTCTCTTTACACAAGAGTGCTGGGCTGGGGTCCACGTTTTACAAAACACATGCTCAGTGGAGCTTGAAAAACAGCTTCTATTTCATTCCTTTCAAGAAAATACAGCTTCTAAATGGATCACTTGAATTATCTGTATGCTGAGACTGTTACGAAGCTGCCAAATGTGTTTATGTGGTCTTATCATATCCAGACCAAAGCTCAAAGGGCTGGTCAATAAGATATTGACATGCTTCCTCACATGAAAACACAAAGTACTATTTGAAAATATCCAAATAACGCGCAGGTAAAGTGCATCCTGTACTACTTCAATATAACAACTGAGTTGTAGGGGAGATTTAGGGTTCATAATCTTTTTTTTTTAAGTTATGCTTTAAGAAAAAGTTTATTTGAAAGCTCTGTAAATAGTATTATCAACATCTGGCTAATTTCTGTCATTCAGCATGTTGCAAATGACATTTAGGAGGCAATATTGTGACTGTGTCATGCATTAGACTTCATAAAGGTGTCAGGAAAGTCTCGGGCAGGTGTCACAGCCTCTGATTTAACTGTCTGCAATCATTTTTCTCTGTGCAGACCATCCAGTGGAATAAGTGAGACTTTGATCTCTGAAACGGAGAACAAAAACCATGAGCCCCTCACACGGGAGGGCTACCGGGGAAGCACGGCCCTGCAGATTGGACCGGCCACAAAGTCCCAATACAGAGAGTTCTACATCACCACAGTCAAGAGGGCAGCTTTTCCAGCTGAGGACCAAGGAAGTGGTCCTGGGTTTTCTGGCCACGTCGAAGAAGAAACAGGCTGGAGTAACCAAATGGCACCCCAAATGCCCGACTCCCCAAGTGGTGTGGATGAGGTTATCTTAAGCGAGAAGACAGAAGGGGGACAGCCAGGCCCTGTGGTGGAGCTACAACTGTCCCTGTCAGAGGAGAGACCCAAGGCCACCAGTGTCCCGACAGCAGTTCTCCTGGGAGCTGAAAAATCCACGTCTCCTGACGCAGACACTGACTTACAACATGACCGCGTCGTCCACCTAAACCCAGTCTCCTCTCCTGAGAAAAGGGCCCTTCCTCTGAAGTCCAGCAAGATAATCCAGCTCTCCAGCAGCAAAGAGTTGAAAGTGACCCCAGGGAGCGAAGCAGGCGAGCCGGGACTGCCCCAAGTGGAAGTGATCTTGGACTGCCCTGACAGGCAGAAGACAGAAGGGTGCAGGCTTCAGGCAGGGAAGGGGCATGCGGATTCTCCAGTGGAAGGAGGGCAGTTAGAAGCACCTCCTTCTGTGGTAGTCTTTGCAGTCTCATCAGAAGGCACAGAGCAGGGAGGACTCCGAGTGGAGAGGGATCACAGCAGACCTCACAAGCACAGAGCAAGGCACGCACGTAAGTCCTCCCTGGGTACGTGGCTGAGCTGTCCGAGGGGCTCGGGACTTTAGGGATCTCTTGCTGCTGCTTTGCTGAAAGCACTGTTTTTTTGTTTTGGGTTTAAAAAAAAAAGATTTGTCTTATTGATGATTTGGTTTTGCTTCATTTTCATTAATGCACAAAATAAACTTGAAACAGTGGGGCAGACAGATTTCTGAATTAGAAGCAGTAAGTTTGAACTTGTTAATAGTAGATTTAAATGTGTTTCATGACCTTCTTATTAGCCGCAGCTCTCCTCCCAGAGCATTGGAGCTGTTACAGAGAATAACACTGTCAATGTGACTCTTTTATTTGTTTTAGAACATTTTAATACTTCATGATCAAATAGCTAAAGGGAGTAAGAGTATTGGAAGTCATGAGGACTCAGGGGAAAAGCTCAAATCTATTGAGTCACAGCGGAGAGGTGTCTTTAAATTACAGCCTCCACCACTGATATTAAAAGCAGATCCTCATTTTGGTAAAATAAATAAATAAATCATCGTGCAGCTTGATGATGTTTGCAGAAGCGAGTTTGACAGACAAGGACATGTGTCCCACTGAGCAGTTACATGAGCCTCGCCGTTTTGGACGACTTCATGCGCCTGCACAGGGTTCCATCTACCTTCTAGACACACAAGGCAGTCTTCCGAGCCACGTGGAGACCTTTCAGTGCCGCCAACATAAAATAGATTTAAATTCAAAGCTTTTGTTTCCCCCGGGGAGTGGGGACAGAGAAGAGCAGGGAGTTAAGGATTGCTCTTAGACTTTGTGATTTGAGTAGTTTCCTGGAATGTGTGTATATTTATTGATTTACTTGCATTTTTTTGTGATTTCATCTGAGGATGGCAAGCCGGGTGGCAAAGGCACTTGAATGTATGAATGACAGACAGCAGGCAAGACTTCAGTTGTTCAAAGTAGTGCAATGAGTCCGCCAGCCTCCTGCTAACCCTTTCAAAGCATATTTTTAGCATAGCCATTTGTAGCTTTATTGGCAAATGCCTGTTCACCATTCCTTATATTTTAAGCATCTGTATGCCATCTTCATGGTTCCAGCCCGTTAAAAGAAGAGTATTAAGGCAGCATTCACACATTGAACATGTTGGCAGTGCAGTCAGCAACAACTGTGCAACTGTGTTCGTACAATAATAAGTTTCATAACACTCATCCCCCAAAAAGGAATTCCATTTTGTCAGGGCCACAATTTTTACGACTTTCTCGCTTAAAGTGTGTGATCACCGGTGAGTATCTGAGATTTCATTATGTAATTATTTTTCTGATCATAGTATGTCTTTAGAATTAACTAGTCTTATGTTTTCTCCAAGGACAAAAGAGAGCTAATTTTCTGTTTTAAAATATTTGAAGAATTTAAACAATTCATATTTTACTATTTTGAGGGAGACAAAACTATTTGTGAATCATGCCCACTATTGAGGCCATAATTACAATTTACTGATGTTATAAATTAATTTGCCCCAATTATATTTTTGGTGACAATAATTATAAAACTTAAAAGAATTAGTATAAATGTTTATTTTAAAACTTGAGTTCTAATTTAAAATGACAATGATTCCTACATCCATTTTTATAGTCTTTAGTCATATATGTGTATATACATATATTTGTTTTCAGTTTTCCTGAGATTTACACCTGCTCTTGCTGAGTAACAAATTGACACATAGGGGGAAAATTTGTCTAGACAAATTCATAGCTAAATTTTCTTCTATGTATTAAAAATAATTTCGTATTCTGAGTTATTATTATTAAGTACCTTCAATTATTTAATCAATGATTTTTAACTTAGATTAATTTACCTGTGAACGCAAAGATTATGGAGGGATGTCAAAGAAGAGAAAAAATGAAAAAAAAAACCCTAAATGTTGAAATTCACTACATTAAAACATTTAGATCAATAAAAAATTCTTGAGAACCGTGCCTTCTTGGAATTCTTAGCCACATAATTATATCGGCACTTTACTATCTTAATGTAGAAGTACAAATGATTATTTTATTTCAAAGTATGAAGTGTGCTTTAATTTTTTCAAATATAACATGTTCTTGGATAATTTCACTTTTAAATTTAATTACATCCTGCTGTCATTGACTAGCCCATTTTCATTATTAAAATATAAAGATCCACAGAGAAAACAATTTAGAAACACATGATCTAATCAGCCTATTAAAATGTATGTATATATTAAATGGGGTATTATATATTATGCTTCATTTTATATATATCTATATACATATATATAATGGGACACGATGTTGTTTTATATATGTAAAATCATTCAGTTACACAAGTATACATTTTAAAAGAAATGAGAAAGAGAATCGAATTGGATCCCTTCAAAATTCAGGTCCCAACCGTGTGCATGATTTTTCTATAGTCATTTCTCTCTTGGATCCAGTAAAAGTTGTAGTCAAGAAGAAGCGCCTTCCTGGCCGAGTCCAGTTCGGGGCTGCCGCGAAGTCGTCCTGCTACTAATGACTTGAATATAATGTTTGTGTCTTCCCCAGGTCTCAGAAGGAGTGAAAGCCTTTCAGAAAAGCAGGTGAAAGAAGCCAAGTCTAAATGCAAAAGCATTGCCCTCCTTCTCACAGATGCCCCCAACCCCAACTCCAAGGGGGTGTTGATGTTTAAGAAGCGCCGTCAAAGGGCCAGGAAATACACCCTCATCAGCTACGGGACCGGGGAGCTTGAGCGCGAGGGGGACGAGGAGGAAGGAGGCGGCAGAGAGGATCCGTGTGAAGTCACGTTTCTGGGCACGAGCGAGTCAGAGGTGGATGAAGAGTTCCTGTCTGACCTGGACGACAGCACGCACGTGGTGAACTTTGACTGGGATTCTGGACTAGTGGACATTGAAAAGAAACTGACCATAGGGGACAAGATGGAGATGCTGCCAGACACCTCAGGCAAGGGGGCCCTCATGTTTGCGAAGAGGAGGGAGCGGATGGATCAGATCGCAGCCCAAAAGGAGGAGGAGAGCAGCAGTGGGGGGCCGAGCAGAGAACCAGATGCTGTCCAGGTAGATGGCCTGAGGACGGTGACGTCCTTCCAAAGGAAAGAGGAGGAATCGCGGAGAGTCCAGACTTCCATGAGCACAAGCTACAGCAACGTCAGCCATGGGGTGGACCATGCACCCCAACAGAATGGCTTCAGTGGGGTTCCCGAGACAGCAGACGCCCAGAGGATGGTCCCTATAAACAGAACGGCAAGACCCTTCCCGGGACCCATGAGCCAGCCCGCCACCCCTTTCTCCCCAACCCGAAACATGACAAGCCCCATCGCCGACTTTCCTGCGCCCCCCCCATATTCTGCGGTCACCCCTCCCCCGGAAGCCTTTTCCAGAGGGCTCGTGAGTCCCGTGGCCGGCCAGCCACAGCCACCTCCGTGGCCTCAGCCCGCCCCGTGGGCCCAAGCAGCCTTTTATGACTCGTCGGAGCGCATCGCTTCCCGGGACGAGAGGATCGCAGTGCCGGCCAAGAGAACGGGCATCCTGCAGGAGGCCAAACGGAGAAGCACCACGAAGCCCATGTTCACCTTCAAGGAGCCCAAAGTCAGTCCCAACCCTGAACTCTTGTCGCTTCTTCAAAACTCCGAAGGCAAGCGGGCCCCCGGAGCCGGCGGGGACTCGGGGCCTGAAGAAGACTACCTCAGTTTAGGGGCAGAGGCCTGCAATTTCCTGCAGAGCGCCTCTGCTAAACAGAAGATGCCACCCCCGGTGGCCCCAAAGCCGGGGGTTAAGGCTGCATCCTCCCAACCAGTGACCCCCGTTTCGCCCGTCTGGGCTCCAGGAGCGACTCCCACCCAACCTCCTGCCTTCCCAGCATCAAACCCACCCCGGGGCACCGCTGTCTCCTCCATCAAAATAGCCCAGCCTTCGCACGCCCCTGCCCGGCCTGCGAGCTCCCTGCACATGGCTGGTCCCTTCAAAGGGCCGCAAGCTGCCGTGGCCAGTCAGAATTACACACTCAAGCCGACAGCTCCTGCACCCGCAGCAAACACTGCTCATGCTAGGCCAGGGGGACCATCCCAGGAGCTTCCGGGGATGAGTGGCAAAGGAGCCCAGCTCTTTGCCAAACGGCAGTCGAGAATGGAGAAGTATGTGGTTGATTCTGACACCGTGCAGGCCCATGCGGCCCGGGCCCAGTCTCCCACTCCATCTCTCCCAGCCTGTTGGAAGTATTCCTCCAACGTCCGAGCACCCCCTCCGGTGGCCTACAATCCCATCCACTCCCCCTCCTACCCACTTGCTGCCGTCAAGTCCCAGCCGTCAGCCCCACAGGCCTCCAAAGCAAGTAAGAAAAAGGGCAAGAAACCCCTCAATGCCTTGGACGTGATGAAGCACCAACCGTATCAGCTCAACTCATCTTTGTTTACGTTTCAACCTCCAGATGCAAAAGATGCTCTCCCCCGAAAGCCAGCAGTCAAGATGAATTCAGTGCAGACCGGGAAGCAAGCATTTCCCCTTTGGCCAGCCAATGCTAGTTCTCCCACGCATGAGCAGCCTTCGTCGGTCTACTCCCTCCCAGCCTACAGCTCTCAGCCGGCCTTCTTTGCTGAGGCTGCCTCCCCGGTCAGTGCGTCCCCAGTGCCGGTGGCCACCCCCAACTCTCCAAAGCAAGAATCCGCCTCGTCGTCGTATTTTGTGGCACCAAGGCCAAAGTTCTCAGCCAAGAAGAGTGGCATCACGGTTCAGGTGTGGAAACCATCTGTTGTGGAAGAGTGCCCCCACGAGTAGCTGAAGCTGAGTGTCCACTTTGCTTGGAAAGGAATCGTTTGCAGTGTTACTTGACCCCCCCACCCCCACCCCAAGATTGTCTAGTTAGTCCTCAACTTACTTAATTTCAGATATATCATCTCCCAATCTGGGTCCAAGGAGAACACAATATTTGAATGAGTCGAAAATCTAACTCAGATTGACTTACAATACATTGATCTTCTTTACACACTTATAAAAAATGTGGGAGCACCCCAAAATAGGCAAGTGCCACTCTATTAAGTAAGCAGGATTCTTAGGATTTCAGTGCTGGCCACAGACAGTGACCGGCATTATCAAGCATTAGGACCCAGCCTTGATTAGCATAACATCTGTATGCCTATGGTGAAAAGGCTCACATGTAGTGGAAATAGAAACGTACTGACTGGGATTGCTTATTTTTTAAGTAGTCCTTTATCTCTATTTATTAATGTTAAGAGAATAAGAAATGTATCAAGCACAGAGATAAATCTGCCAACTTCAGTCACCTTTTGATATTTCAGAGAAGGTACCCTAAGGAATGTACATATTTTAGAACAAGGAAGTTTGCAGAAAGGTATTAATAATTACCGAATACTATTGTGCACTGGCAGGATAAAGATGGGGCTTTCTTCTCCCACTACGAGTTATTTGGTGACTCACAGAGGCAGTTCTACCCTGTCCTATAGGGTCACATACTGGCATCGACTCGATGGCAGTATGTTTGGTTTGGGTATTACATACCGGAGTCCTTGAATGGTGCAAACACACTGGGCTACTAACCTAAAGGTTGACAGTTCTAGCCCACCTAGATGCACCTTGGCAAGAAAGATCTGGTGATCTGCTTCCAAACATCAGTCACTGAAAACCCTCTGGAGCCAAGTTCTCCTCTGATCTGTATCAGTGTGACCATGTGTCTAAGGAGGGCCAATGGCAACTGGTTTGGTTACTCAATGTATGATTTTGTGACCGATGTTTTCCATATAGTAACTCATTTCAGAAGCTATGTTAAAAGTAAGTGGAGTAGGGAAGAAAGACAATTATCCTTAGGGATAGATTTCCACCCTCCTTCTCCACTTTCTTAGGAACAAAGTGAGTAAGTACATCTCCAACTGCCCATGAAAGCATTCATCTGTTTTCCGCCACTGAGGCAAGAGGTCGAGTACAGTACTATGGAGTCCTGTGAGACAGTGGGCGGGACCCCATAAAGGTAGACGCGGCTATCCCTTTACTTAGGGATGCTGACTGATGAGGTCTGAAAGGTTGCTGACCACAGAAGCTGCTTGTGGAACCGGAGGAAGCCACGTGTATGGAAGCTGTAGCATGAGAGTGCGTGGTTAGTGCCATTTCAGAGTGGTCTCACCGATTTTTTTCCTCCTGGTTGCTTGGGTTTTCGGATGGCTGCTTCTTCCGCTGTTCCTTCTGAGTCTGTTCCTTCACCTTCACTTTGGTCTTTTTAGTTGGTGGACCAGGAGGATCCAGGCAAGGTTACCTTGTAATTTTGGATTGGTTACACACCAAGTACTCATCCAACTGGCTGTGAAGTTAGTGATGTCAGAAGAACTTTCTCCTCTCTATTTTAAGCCCGAGTCTAAATAGCCATAGGAAATAGTCAACAGGAATGAATGTAGAGCATTACCAAGAAGGTACATCAGCTACAAGGACAATCACTTACACTACACAGAAAATATCTTTAGAGGCCTAACCAAAAACAAAACAAACAAACAAACAAACAAACAAACAAACCTGCCTGGTTTGAAGATACATGGTACCATTTTACTTTCTGAAAATATCTGTATTCTTGGTTTTCTCTGCTCTCACTGTCAATCTGCCATGTTTTTCACCATCCTATTAAAATATGACTTTCTTCTTTATCTGCTGAATGTGCATGTTTTTGTCCACCTTCCCTGGATGAGCTGCTCTGATCTAGTCTATTTCTCTCATGCTCCTTCCCATCATGCCTGATGGCTTATCCATGTCTCCACATACTGTAAAAAATGCAGTCCGGAATCTCTGTGGAACAGCACACCGAGCAGAGAAGTTTGTTTCCCACACAACACAGGGGCTGGCACGTTTGCTTTCCTCTAGAAAAAACGTTCATCATCTTTGGTGGCAATTTGCCTAGAGGTTATGACCACGGGATGTAGACCAGCCAATTATTTGCCTTTTGGGGAAATCAATTAGGAAGATGAATAGAGGATAAGGGAAAATGAATGTACCTATTATATAACGGTGTTCTGTGTTTTGTTTTGTTTTTAAATTGTTCCCTACTAAGGAAGTCCATTGAGTGCCGTGCATTTTGCAGTTACCAAATAGAACAACCTACAAAGGGCTTCTTGAGGTGAAACAGCAAAAATCACATTTGTAACTTTGCATTCTTAAGATAGCACTCAAATGATGGCATGCCTAAGAGTAAAGATAGTGGGGGGTTGGGGGGGATACAGGTAGTCATCTGAGCTCATAGGTTCAAATGTAGGGCAGCATGGTAATAACCCAGAGTACTCCCAGTTGCCCAGTGGTATGTAGGAATGAGAAGTGTTTTCAGTCCGTTTCCTGTTGGACAGGTGGCGCTCTTCAATGAACCCCTATTTGGAGTTGATGACTTAAGACACAACTGGTATAATTTTGTCTTCTGGTCATCCTGGGACTGCTTGGGGTTCCCAAAAAGCTTCTAGGCAGTATGCCAGGTATGCAAAGCATCCACAACTTAGACTGGGGATTAGTAGCATAGGTCTCAGCTTGGAAGATAGTGTCTTACTTTATAGCAGAGGTGGGATTCACCTAAAACTCTACTCATCACAGAAATAGTGTGACCTCACCTTGAGGGCTTTGGGGAGTGGGACAGAGAAAGACTAAGCTAGTTTGAAGTAGTAGGGATCGCCTGATCTCTTGTTTTTCCAGTAGAGAGCCTTCTGGGAAATTGCATGCAGAAGAAACTCTATGTACTTCTTTTCACATGGGGACTTTCACATGATGTCAGTGTGGCAGGTGGAAGAGTCCAAACTCATGACATCAGCTTTCCTCCCATTAGATTCCCCTTGCAATCTGGGTGGTGCTGGTGTTGTGGTGGTGGCGATTGGTTGGTTGATTGGTTGTGGCTGGCTGGCTGGCTCGTGGGTGGTTCAGGGAGGCAATTTTGTTTTGTTTTTATCATCTTGTTTTCTGTTATGTTGCTTCATAGATTGAGCACCGATCAAATGAAGTAGACAGCATCGCCCTAATAACAATGATCAGTTAATAAGTGTTTGTGTTATGGTAGAGACCTGTATATATTATCCCCAGGAGTCTGCTGTGGGGCTTACAAGCACTGGAATCTAACCCAGAATATCACAATCACTGGTTTACTGCAGGACCTTCAGCAAATCTTTCTTTCCATGAGTTTTCTTGCCTTAATGCCCCCAACTTCTCTTCCTGTCGTGTCTGACTGAGTATTCACCACCAACACTTGAGATTCTAGGAAGAAAGGTAAGATGTGGATATAATTACAGCACTTGGTATCTTTCTCAGCTTCAGAGGAGAACAGATTGAATCACCAAAAAAAAAAAAACTGATAATATTTGGAATCTGAGTGCTGCTGCTGCTTAAATTTTGAAACACGATTTTATTTCAACAACAGGCACATTCGCTTTCAAAAGAGGAAAACACACACTGTTTTCTGAATTTGTACAATGCATTGATAGTGTATGCCACAAATCTTTAGCGATAAATTCTATCAGACACATTTGGGTTGTCATTCTAGAGCACGTAAAAGTGTGCACTTCAAAATACATCTAGTAGGATAGTTCATGATAGCGTGTATCCAGCCTTTGCACAAACAATCTCACAAGATCTTTATAAGGGGCAACTCATTTTAACTTTAAGAAAATCCATCTGAGTTACAAATAGTTCTTCAAAGCAAGTGAGGGTCATTTAACTCTCCATGAAAGTGCCGGCTTCTTCAAGAAGTAGCCATGGCAGAACAGCTGAGTATTATCCCACAGCCTGAATGCTAGCCAGGCAGTAAGAGTCCCATCAGAGATGTTCAGAACAAGTGGTCTACATTTGAAGGGGGTGGACTCACATGTCAGAGACCATTTCCTTATCTACAATGACTGTTAACGAACTTTGAAGATGGCTTGCTGCTAAAAAGCATGCGAATATTCGGACTATGTGGCGATGTCAAAGTGAAGTCTCTTGAGAGCCCAAGAAGATACCCGGTTATTAATGACTGAATTCCCATTTAATCTTGCAAATAAAAGCCCCTTTCTGTGTCTAACTTCATCCAGTTATAATACAAAGAATCGGCAGGAACTCAGAACTTAAGGGCATGTCCCTGAAATCAGTGGCTATTTCATGAGTCACCATCAACCTCACAGGAAGGGTATTAGAGGTCATGGTCATCCAAAGGAAGTGATTGTTTTCTGAAAAGCTAAATGCTTCCAGAGGAAAGAGGTTGGGTATATGTCCTAAAAAAGAGGGTGGTGGAGTTCACTTTAAAAAGAAAAATTATGAGTTCGTGAGAAAAATATGTAAATTCTAAGAACCAGCATTATCTTCCCAGAAACACTGACCCTTGCTGGTCGCCTGACCCCATATCACTGGACCCTGGGGGACACAAAGACATGTGTAACACTCCAGTACTGATGAGTTTGTCAACAAATATTCTGGGGAAAAAGCAGAATTGAATTCTTCCTTAGATTTTTCATCGAAGTTGACCCTGGGCCATAAAGCAGGCTAGTGTTTCCCACAAGACCCAAATACCAGACAGAAATGCCAAAAGAGACCAGTTTCTGTTTGTCCCTCCATAGTGCTTTTTTTTTTTTTTTATTCCCCAAATTCCAAATCTTCCTATGGAGCACCAGGCCAATAAAATCCAACCCTCTGGAGATGCCTACATCAATCCATCCTTCCCAGCAATCATTCAAAAACTGTTTATACAGCATGTATATTTGTACTCTAAATGGTCACTTGGCACTTGTCAG